GGTCCTGGGGGGGGGGTTGGATTAAGGCGGCCCGCCACTCTCACTCATGTCAGCAATATCTACTATTCGATCCCTCAGGTCCGTGTCTTTTTTTCCTGGATTGTTCTTGTTTGGTTGCTGAGAAAGTGTTGGAGAAAGAAAATGTGGAATGTTAATACTTAATTTTATTGTGCATGTCTCTCTTCCCTTTGTTTAGGGTCTTTCGCGTTTCAAGAGTAAAACTTTGATGGATAATTAGAAATTAGAGTGCTAAATCCTATAAATTTTTTTATTTCGAATTGTACAGCTTGCTGCTTTAAGCTAAAATAACGCTTGTCAATGTTGAATCTCTTGGTATTTAGTGTTCGTTTAAGCTTGATTCATTCGCGGAAAGAGAAGAAACTTTTTGAATTTAAATTCTTTATAAGATGAAAAAGACTGCAGAATTCAATTATAGGAACAAACGGGGCCTTAGTGTTTTGGAACATTAATCTTCGAAGATGTCGAAAATTTTAAAACTTTTTGGTTCCTTTTTGGTGTTGGTGTTGGTGTAGGTGGAGCTTGCAAAGAGTCTAGTGGCGAGTTCATTTGCTGATCGTGTTTTCTTTACCAATTCGGGAACCGAAGCAAATGAAGCCGCTATAAAGTTTGCAAGAAAGTTTCAAAGACATTCACATCCCGACACGAAAGAGCCTGCTACGGAGTTCGTATCTTTCACAAACAGTTTCCATGGAAGAACCATGGGTGCTCTTGCCTTGACAAGCAAAGAGAATTACAGGACACCCTTTCAACCTGTCATGCCCGGAGTTACATTCGTTGAGTATGGAAATATAGAAGCCACAAAGGAGTTGATTCGGCCTGGTAAAACTGCAGCGGTTTTCGTCGAGCCCATTCAAGGTGAAGGAGGCATATACAGCGCTACGAAGGAGTTTTTGCAATTTCTGCGCCGTGCTTGTGATGATGCCGGGGCTCTTTTGGTGTTTGATGAGGTACTTAACATGTAGATCTTCATTGCAATGAGTTGTTCTTATGCCTCTGTCTTCAGCATTTCTTGTTTAAAAGAATCTACTTTACTCCTTGTTTAGCCTTGCACACATTACTCTTAGATTCCAATTACACTGCTAGTTATTAGTGATGATCACCATTAGTTTTTTAATCAGTCATAAAGATTAATATATGAACCATGTGTCATAATCAGCCGTCCCAAAGTTGATATGTGAATTTGTGATTGGTTAAAATGTGTGGTGACGATCCCCTGTAGTGATATGTAGCATCACTCTTCTAATAATCAACAATTTTTGCTATGTTTTTCTAATGGCCAGTTTTGTTTCTCTCGTTTCATAGGTACAATGTGGTTTAGGCCGAACGGGGTATTTGTGGGCCCACGAGGCTTATGGTGTGTTTCCAGATATGATGACACTGGCCAAGCCTCTAGCTGGAGGATTACCAATTGGAGCTGTTCTGTTAACTGAGAGAGTTGCTTCTTCAATAGCTTATGGTGACCATGGAAGTACTTTTGCCGGTTCACCCCTAGTTTGTAGTGCGGCCCTTGCAGTTCTAGAGAAAATCTGGAACCCTAATTTCCTAAGCAGCGTTTCCCGGAAAGGTCTCTACTTGAAGGACATCTTAGAGAAAAAGCTGGGGAAGAACCCGCACGTGAAAGATATACGTGGACTCGGATTAATCATGGGGATTGAGTTGGATGTCTCAGCCTCACCCCTTGTTGACGCGTGCCGAAATGCTGGGCTTTTAGTTTTAACTGCCGGAAAAGGCAATGTCGTGAGGCTCGTGCCACCATTGATCATAACGGAGCAGGAGCTTGATCGTGCAACCGAGATTTTGTGCCAAGCATTGCCCATTCTTGATGAAAATAGTTCAAACTAGATTCCCAGACCTATGATGGCCATGTTTTGGTTGCATGTCATTGATTTAATAAGCATGGACACCCCTTTTTTTCTTGTTGGGTTTTCCCTTCATTTAGGTACAATTTTAGTTGTAATGTGCTTATACTCCTTAATGTTTGTTCTGCTTTCTATATATCCAGTAAGGGGAAAAGAAAGTGTCTCCACAAAAAGTAATCGGAGATCTTCACTAAATATCAAACATTATTTTAATAGAATACTAACCAATTTGCTAGCATTATTGCATAGGAAAGAGACGAACATGGATATTAATATATATTTCAGGGACATAAATTGCTTCAATCTTTTTTATAATATATATCATAGTATTGCGTGTAGCTCCATTTAAATATCGGAAAGCCAGACATAGCTTGCAAGTAATAAGCTGTAATTAAAAATGTGAACAATAAGTTGCAAGAAAAAGGCAAAAAGAGAGATACGGTCCATAAAAATAATAATAATAATAATAAAATAAAAGCAGAGACCCTTGTCTATAAAATGAATGCTAATTAGTTACAACTTGGTTTTAATAAATCATATACAACTTGGTTTAAATAAATCATATACAAACAGAATCTGTAAAAATTTTCTAATATATATAATCATTGTCATTTTTCTTATCATACTTCGCCTAAGCACCGGCTGAAAATGAGTATAAGTTTCAAGTCTATGTGCTTCTTAAACTTCATCATCCTTAGTGCCTTCTCCTACAAACACTTGGGTAACTTTTTTTTTTTTTTTTTTTGAAATTTTATTTTATGCTTGTAATCGCAAAATGTCTAAAAATACATGTACATAATGAATGATGAATTTGGTGCTCGCCAATCTTATATTAAATGAATCAAGCCCCTCGTTTGAGTTTATTAGATTCTGATACTATAATGAAATTTGAACTTTTTAAAGACTTAAACTTACATCTTATAGATGAACTTAAAAAGTTGGTGATTATTTATATATTTAACTGATGTGAGACTTGGGTTATTTGTATATTTAAGCTTGAAACCGAAATTTATTTGAAGGTATGTGGGTCAGGGTGGGATTTATTTATTTTTTATTAGTGTTATTGAGCATCATTAATGTTGTTTAACATTATTCTTCTTATAATAATTTGCACATTCTCTTTTATTTATTTCTCATTCCTTTTTTTTTTTTTTTCCCGGTGAGTGACAAGTTGTGTCCACTGGCGAGATTACTTTTGCAAAGGAGAAGGACAATAACTTGTTGAATTACATAGTCAACGATGTAGAAAGGATGTAACCTCTAAGACGATATGCAAAAACATTTATGGGGAAGATTGTGTCATCCGTGCTAAATATTGCCTCGTTCATTTCACCGATTCGAGTTTAAAATTTAAATTTTATTACAGTAAAAAGCTCTCAAAAACAGTCACGTCTAACTTTTTTATTACAATAAAAAGCTTTCACATAAAGTCACATCTAAATTCGAATTAAAAATTTAAATTAACGAACTAAACGGCCCTGTGTATATTGAATATAGGAAAGCATTCTTTTGTTATGTGCTGTGTAAGTGTGATTGATAACGTTTATCTACTATTTGCAATTACTATTCCTTAGCATCTTACAAATAGACAACTTCTATTTGTCAACATTTTAATAGTCTAAAACACTTTTTGTAAAAGGAAAACTTAAGGTTTATGGAAAATATTAACGTTTTAACTTGTAAGTAGTAATGTGGTTATGTAGCATTTTCCATGCAAATAGTTTGCATTTAAGAACTATCCTGATCGTGTCCATTCCTGTATGGTAGCCACCAACAGGCCGAAAAACATATATATTATATATGTATTTTTTTAGGAGCCTTTTTTTTTTTTTTTCATAAGCTTGTTTATCATAAAATATTAATTGAGGCATGTTTAATAAAGTAAATTTATGTTGATAGTACATGGTTGCTTTTAATCAGAAAAGTATGAATACGTCTAATCAAAGTATTAGCCAAATAAAAATAAAGTGAAGAAGTTTATAAGCAAATCCTCTTGGCACAACTCCAGCTCCTCCAAAAAAGATAAGGATCCAAATGATTAACCAAATTAACAACGTTCAAAGTGGATCAAGCGATTTATACTAAACTTCATGACATGTCATAACGGGATTGGCTCAAAAACATCACTACATAAATGAATTTTTGAGATCTATTTCTTTTTTACATCAATCTTGAGTTGACACGTGTAATAAACGTGTGATTTCAAATTAAGTCGCTTCATTTGACATTGATATGTAGTATGTGTATAATTGATACTTAGGGCTTGCTCTTTTGAAGTTTAATTTGAGTATAATTTTTAAGTTGAGTTTGTATTTAGTTGTGTACATTTGAGTTATAGTTTGAGATAAGAATCTTTTTGAGTGAGTCAAAACTTAAATTTGTATTTAGATAGTATTTTAATAAAAACTCAATGTTGATAAAAAATTTTAATAGCATATATGGGTCGGATTTTATTCGTCTTTTCGTTGTCAACGCATAGAAAAAAAAATCATCTCAATCAGAATTAAAACGAAAAAGTTATAGTATTTTTAAGAATATAAAAAATACTGTTTATTAATTTGAGTTCGAGTTTCTGAACTCGAGTTGAAGGGGAAACTTGAACTCGAGTTTTAGTCCTAAACTCGAGTTTGAATTCGAGTTTAAACTCGAGTTTAAACTTAAAAGAACATGAACTCGAATAAAATTGTAACTCGGGTTGTATTTTTTAAAATTTTTCACTCAAAAGAACAAGCCCTAAATATTTGGGTACTTAATTTAAATATATACCATTTTTAATAGGTGATTGTTAATGTTTAACATTTTATTTCATTTCTTTTGATTCAAACACTTTTTAAGTAGTATACAGTCTGTATTACCCTTTATTTATATCTAAAATTTCAAACCCTTCTGATTAACTCCAGTTAAACAGTAATTAATTAATTAATTTCAACTAATCAATGATTAATTATATTTGGTACCCTCCAGTTAACCACTCATTAACTAATTATATCTGATTGTCTCGGGTGAAATTATCCTTTTATTCATTAAAAGTGATTTGTTTCAAACTTTTTCAATAGAAGTGGTAGAATTGAAAGGCACTTCCATAAAACTCAAATGCAGTATTTTCCTAATTGACCCAATTTATTAGGCAAATTGACATATTCAATATATATATATATATATATATTAATATATATACAAAAGTTGTTATAATTATTTTAATACATGCTATTTTTAGAGTATTCTGAACATTTTACTATATTCCAATTTCATCACTGAAATTTTACTATATTTCTAAAAAGATTGTTTCGGGCGATAAACGCTATGAGTATTCTATTTGGTCCTCAATGGGGTTGCTCACGCACACACAAAATCAAAACTAAGTTGGGGTTTACGTATCCCCATTGTCCCAGTAACACTGAGCAATGCAGTTTCAATGCTTCTAGTTTGAACTACGGTCATCAAGAACAGGCAAAGCTTGGCATAAAATCTCAGCTGCGCGATCATGCCCTGCTCGGTTATGATCAATGGCGGAGTCACATCTCGTGTCCCAATTTTATTTCAATTTTCTGAAATTTAAATTTTTTTGTCTCTATTTTCCAAAAAAAAAAAAAAAAGGTTACATCTATGCTTCCACTCAAATTAAAATATATAATCATGTCTTCACTGAATAAAATATTCTTTATTTTTTTCCCTATAAGACCCTCATTTAAAATAATAATAATAATAATTATTATTATAATAATAAGGTCCTCACTAAAAGGAAAAAAAAAAACTGTCTCTGCCACTAATAACAGGGCTATTAACTTTTCAATTATGTATACTATAATAACTAACTACCATATAGTTTTTGTTATTCTTGAAAAATTCTTAAAATCTTTTTTTTCTAAATTTAGATTTCACCATGGTAATTTTGTCGTGTAATTTTTACAACAAACAATTTTAGCACGACCCTTTAGATCACTTTCATGTTTTACAAATGAGATTTTAATGACGTCAGGTTTTGATTTTCAAAAGAGAAAATTTGGCTCAACTTGCAATTACTTCGGACTCCGTTTAATGGTATAAGCTAGTATATTTTTTTAATCTTAAAAATTTGTAATGTGAGGAGGTTGCTCTTATTTTAATCTTAAAAATTCCATGCGTGGATTGTTTTTATTTTATTTTTCTTTGTTAGTTTGTATGTTTCAAATTGCAATGCGTTTATGCTTCTTAATGTTAGTTTTGCTTTCTATATATCCAATAAGGACAAAAATAAAATGGTGTCCACAAAAAGTTTCGGAGATCTTAATACCAATTATGGATTTCAAGCAATTTGAAACTAGCTGTGGTACAAATTTGTTGAACAGAATACTAACCAGTAACCAATTTGGTAGTTTCATTACATGTAAAAGAGAGGACATGAATTATTATAGTTTTGTCAGATATAATATATATATAGGAATTGTCTCTGATCAGGCATTTGAAAAGTGTCTGACCGGAACGACATTTGTATAATTATGTATAAATTGTCTATATTTACATGTAAATCGTGTTTATTTACATGTAAAGTCGTGTATGTTAACTTATAAGAAACGACAATGTATATTAATCCTCAAAACATGTATTTTTATAGCAATTAGTGAACACATAGCATGAAAATATGTATATTAGCTGATTTGTTGTATTTCATGTTAACTATACACGAATTACATGTAAATATACACGATTTATACATAAATATACAACTGCCGTTCCGGTCAGGCACTTGAAAAGTGCATGATTGGAGACCTTACCTATAATTATAATATGATATTGTAATTATTATTTTATAATATATTATATATTATATTGTATTGATATAATTATATTTATTATATTAATAATATTACAGTAATATTATTACATTTTATTATCTTGATATAATTATATTTATTATATTAATAATAATATAATAATTAATATAATTAATTATTAATATAATATTATAATTCTAATATTATTATATATTATAGTGTATTACACACGTTATGGTTAAACAATATATTAATTATAATATATTTGTTTAATATAATATAATAATGATTATATAATATAGTTATAATTTTTAATTATATTATAATTGAAATATTAATATTTCTTATGTAATATTATAATATGTTTTATAATATTATAATTATATTAACCATTTTAACAATACTATTATATTTTATATCATAGTTATATAGTATGTTATTTAATAATAGTTTTATTATATTATATTAAATATATATTATATTGTAATTATATATATATATATATATATATTATATTT